CTCCACAGTCATCCCCCCAGTTCTCCTCCCACTCCTCAGTCCTCGTCATCAGTCCTCCTCATAGTCGTCCTCGTCTTCCTTCTCAGTCCTCCTCGTCCTCAGTCCTCCTCGTCTTTAGACCTCCTCCTCATCAGTCCTTCCCCAGTCCTCCTCCTCCTTCTCCTTCTTATCAGTCGTCCTCCTGCTCCTCCTCAGTCCTCCTCGTCCTTAGTCCTCATCCTTTTACTCCTCCTCCTCCTCAGTCCTCTTCAGTCCTTCTCCTCCTCAGTCATCCCCCAGTTCTCCTCCCCTCCTCAGTCCTCGTCCTCAATCCTCCTCATGGTCCTCACCTGAGTCCTCCTCCTCATCCTCCTCCACAGTCCTCTTCCTCCTCCTGAGTCCTCCCCCAGTCCTCATCCTCCTTCCCCAGTCCTCCTCAGTCTCCTCCTTCTCCTCCACAGTCATCCTCCCAGTTCTCCTCCCACTCCTCAGTCCTCGTCCTCAGTCCTCCTCATAGTCGTCCTCGTCTTCCTTCTCAGTCCTCCTCGTCTTTAGACCTCCTCCTCATCAGTCCTTCCCCAGTCCTCCTCCTCCTCCTCCTTCTCCTTCTTATCAGTCGTCCTCCTCCTCCTCCTCAGTCCTCCTCGTCCTTAGTCCTCATCCTTTTACTCCTCCTCCTCAGTCCTCTTCAGTCCTTCTCCTCCTCAGTCATCCCCCCAGTTCTCCTCCTCTCCTCAGTCCTCGTCCTCAGTCCTGAGTCCTCATGGTCGTCCTTCTCCTCCTCCTCCTCCCCTTCCTCCTCAGTCCTCCTCCTTCTCCTCCTCCTCCTCCCCTTCCTCCTCAGTCTTCCTCAGTCCTCCTCCTCTTCCTTTTCCTCCTCCTCCTCAGTCCTCCTCCTCCTCTTCAGGGCATCATGTTTGCGAAAAGTGGAAGGCTAAAGGTTAACACTTTATCACGGCTCCAACGTTCCAGGACCTCATAACTGGCCTTGAAGGGATGGTTCATTATCTAGTCCAATGTGCAACTAAGTACAAGGACTGTGATATTGCTCCCTGGCATTTTGTTTCCGACTCTTGCGAACAATTGTTTGCTTTCCTTCGCACTGGCTTCCACAAAGGACGCCAGACGAACCTATCGAGTGCTTCGGTTGTGCACGGGGCAGCAAGGAAAAATCGGTGCCTTGAGCTTGATGCGAAAGGCAGCCATCTTGTTGCGCATGACGTTGCACACACTCGGGGGAAGACACTGATTCCCGATCCCAACCAAACACGGGTGTACAAGGGCAGAGACACCAGCCTCAAGAAACTTAGGAAAGCACTCAGGGAAGGCATCGACATGGGGAAGGATATGATTCGTGCTCACAAAAAGCTGTCCGGGTGCGAACTCGATATACCTACTGAACCTGACTGTTACACTCTAGTTGATGATGATGACAGGGAAAAGGCTGAGCTTGAGGCTCCCAATGATGATGATGATGAAATGGAGATGTACAACCAGTCAACTGGAGTTCTCACAACCGACGGCCGTTGGTACCATGTTGATACTGCTGCTGAGAAGTTCATGAACGACGGTCGGTCATCAATGGCAGGTCATACACGCCAAAGGAGAATCAAAGGCTACAGTATCGCCAGGGTGTCACTTTCTCAGCCATTTGAATCGCTTGGAAAAGACTGTAAACGTGTATCTGTTGGTGACAAGGGCTGATTGGGCGACATCTGTCCGACAGCAACATCTGTCCGAAAGCTGAATTAGGGATTTCGGACAGATGTCGTTGTCGGACAGGAGTCGTGTTTGGCGACATCTGTCCGAAATTTGGATCATATTGTAATTTCGGTTCACATTCGTATTTCACAAGCTCACATGTAATCTCGTGACGTTCTAAAGCTGATGTGATCGCTTAAGATCTGATCCATCGATACGTGATTGACTAGTTGAGAACAGGATCGTGCTAGCCGTACCCTAACAAGCTGTCGATCACATCACAGGACATGAGTACATATAGGACAGCAGTATGGAGATCACTTATCGCAATCCACAATGGCAACCAATCTTCAGTTTATCCCTGGACGCAAACAAGGCTCGGACAACCCTGTCCTAAATGGCTTCAGATACGTCTTCGACAAGCGAAGAGACGACACCTCCTACTGGAAATGTTCGGATTTCCGAAAGGGTTGCAGAGCCCGCATCCGTACCGTGGACAGACAAATGATCACTCCTACTCCTGACCACACTCACGCTGTCCACCATGCTGAAACGACCGTCCACGTCAGCAAACAGGACTTGAAAAGAAAGGCTTCTGGCGGAGATCAACCAACGAAATACCTCGTATCTGAAGCAGTCGGTGGATTGGGTTACGAATCTAGAGCAAAGCTTGGCTGCCAGCTATCATCCCTCAACAGAATGGTACAGAGAAGCAGAAAAGCAGCTAACAGACACCCTTCTAACCCGAGAGATCTTGGAAACGCTCTCCATTCCTCCAAACTACATCCTCTCCACCGACAACGAACCAATGATGCTCTGGGACTCTGGATGGGACGAACAGACTCGTCGATCTTTCCTTTGGGGGACTCCTAAGAACGCAGATCATATGGTGGACGCGGAGCATTGGGTAGTCGACGGTACCTTCAAATCCGCACCTAATCTCTTCCATCAGCTCTTCACAGTGAACTATTGTCCAATTTATCGACATCAAATGAAAATAAACTGTGGTAGTAAACTATGGCTCAGATCATATCTCAAATTGGACATGTTACGTATACAATTTAGCAAGTAACAGTTTAGATCATGTCTCTAATTGGAAATGTGTCGTATTGAAATCAGGTCACAATTTCGGACAGATGTCGTTTTTTTCTGGTACCCTGATTCGGACAGATGTCGCTGTCGGACAGATGTCGCTGTCGGACAGGAGTCGTGTTACCACAAGGGCTGGTTCGACAAGAAAAAATTCAAGCAAGCTGTCAAGTTCCGCCGGCAGGCTCTGTTCATGTCAACATCGCATATATTCAGCAAGGCTGACAGGTCGTCTGTCTGCTGTGTACCCACTAATTCCTTTTGTTCTACCCATCAGAACTAGGGACCCAACTTACTAGATTTTAAAAGTATGCGTATTTGGCAATAATATTCTGTGATGTAGCATTCAAAGACCTTTATAAATCACAATTAATACATCATAATATCTGAATTGTGATAATATCCCGGTTATTTTGACATTTACGCTTACGTGAGATTGACAAGCAGCTAAACTCCAATTATTGATTTTTGATTTGAAACTTTTACAAAATAGCAAGTATACAAATGTACAGCAATTCGAACAAACATATAAAATGGGCCGAAATGTATAAATGCTAAAAAGCGTGGGTCAGTGAAACAAGTACAGAGGACAACTTTCAGAACAAGAGTTTTTTGGCCGCCCAAAGTCTCAATAACATCACCTCCACCTAGTAATAAAATTATGAAATGTGAAAAGTGTGAAACAATCAAATAATAATGTATGTATATAATATAATTGTCTCTCAAATACAGATAACGTCCGTTAACTCTTAAAATACCCCTACAAGTACATATTATACTGATCGGTGGTGTCCGAGAAACATGAATTACGTCATCATGGTGTCTTCTTAACCCGGCTACAGACCTTCCCGTTACGGATGTAGTGGTCGAGATGAGTCTGTTCAGCCCTCTTCTTCTTCAGGTCAGTTACCACGTTCTTCCTTGCTGCACGCTCTTCACTGGATCTATCAGGACAGATCCATACATTTTTGTGTGCATCAGCCATCTTCAGTCTCCCTGTTTTCATCAGAATCTGATGAACTGCTGTTGAGCTTGGGACGGTGATCTTGACTGGTCGGATAGCCGTACCTGGCCTCTTCCAGCCGACTCTAGTCGCTTCAAAATGAGGTTTCTCCCCGATCTCCTCCAATAGTGCGGTTACCAGAGCTGGTAGCTGTTCTTCATCCTCTTCTTTCAGACCAAACACTATCAGATTCTTGCTCCTGTCCTCCTCTGCAGCCACACTCTTCATTACATTCTTCAGAATTTTGCTGTTGCAGACCGCGCCACTTGTGCTGTTCTTTTGTACAGCTGCACTGTAGCTCTTAATTCCTGTCTCCACCGTTGTTTGTACTGTCTCTTCAACTGACGTCTTAAACAACTGTAGTTGTTCGTCCTTCTGCACTAGCAACTGGTCCTGCAACCTGACCATCTTTTCCTTGTCTGCTAGTGCTTCCGTCTTGAGGCACTCAACGATTTCCATCATAGCGCTCATCTGACTACTCTGCCGTCGTACGAGGTCTGCTGCTTGCATAACCCAGTTTGCCATATACCTTTTATAGATAGACGGAGACATGAGTATTTCCTGGTCCATATTTCCACGAATTTCGAAGTTTTCTAATTTCAGTTCTCTTGCCATCGAAGTGAACCATCTTTCAGCACAGCCCTCTACATCTTCCTTTTCTTCGTAGTTGAAATCCTTGATTTTCTTCTGAGATCGGGTCAAATTCAGATCATCCTCCATGGTGTACTTGTATAATAATGTACAATTACACACGCAAAGGCTAACTACGCGGTAACAGCAAACTGAACTTATCGCTAAGTTACAAAAGATAAGGGAGCTCGATAATTGCAACGTAAGCTACACACACTACACACGATGTGTTAATTAGTAGGTAATCGTAGTATTGTATTTTCATTTGTTCACCAGTTTTGCTGCGTCTTATTTATCTTCTCTGATGTCATACAGTGTAATATACAAAGATACAACGGAGAATACCAATGGATTTATAGATCCATTTCTCTGGGATGTTTCGTTATTTCTAGAGTAAAAAAATGTTGGTAAAAAATACGAAAAAATACGAACGCACCCCTAAAATTTGAAATTCGTATTCGTATTTTTTGTAGTTGGACCCCCCCCCCCCCCCCAATTAATTTTTACGCTTTAAGAAGTTAAGTTTTATTGACCACAATTTATAATGCCTCGAGTGTAACTACCATTGACCGCCTTGAATAACATCTCATATCGCCAGGTTTGTAGACCATAAAGTGGACCCCACTTTCTACTGGGACTACTCATGGGTAGTTTATCTGGACGATGTGGCCTATATCCACGCGCACCCCTACGAACGCGAGGGAAGTGTGGTCCTCATTGGTCACGATGGAGTTCAGCGTCCACCGGTCCTCTTCCCCTCGCAAACAGCTTTGGTCGACTTTCTAACCTGTCTAGAAGGAGGGTTACTGTCTGAGAGCTTCAGTATGGAACCGCGTGTCAGTATGTACCTCACACCTCAGGGAACCTTTCCTCCGAAGAGCGATAAGAAGAAAACAGCCAAGCAAGCCAGCTTCTTTGTGTTCCAAATAATCACTTTCATTCCCGAGCAACCGGATGAAACCAGAGATGCTAAGAGGAAACGAGATTCGATAGGGAGTGTTCAGAGTCTCAATTCGAATCAGGACAAGGGGAGTGTCAAGAAGACCAAAGAGGGAGGTAGCGAGGAGAGTATGTCCATTAACAGCTGTGAAACAGAAGATTTTCATTTACCTACACGAATAGGCGAAGTGTGCCAGACCATGCGATATCAGATTCTCTCGAGAAACTTTTACGGCTGGCTAGCGTATTGTCGGCATCTCAGTGAGGTTCGCAAACACCTCTCCATCATGGTTTACAAAACACGAACTATCTCATATCTTGATCTAGAGGCGGGTGTCACCCCTGAACTTTGGGAATCGCTACACGATTGTGACGTAGTGAACGACAAGGAACGGGTCATGTACTACACATACTACGGAGGAATCGATCCCTCAGTTCGACCGGAAGTGTGGAAGTATATCCTGGGGCACTACAGTTTTGGAGACACCCCGGCGGTTCGGCGCCAGAAGGACGAGGAGGAGAGGGAGGAGTTTCAGAGGCAGGTTTGTGTGTGGGAGAAAGTGGAGCAATACATATTATCTAATGATAAGAGCAAGTTTACTGCGGTGCTAGATGAGACTTTTGATACTACTTCAGTTAAGAGTGTCGTTAAAGAGGAAGTTGACAGTGTAGTCAGCTTGGAACCGGAGGAGGAAGATGAGGAGCTTAAGAGTGCCCGCAGCGGGTTGACGTCTCCTGCAAGCGACGCGTATCTATCTGCTACCCAAGATGAGGACGGGGATGAGATGCCTGAGGAATGTGTCATGAATGGGGTTGATCCCCCGGGAAAAAATGGAGTCGATGTTATTGAGAATGGTGTTATAATCCTTGAAAACGGTTGCCTACCACCAGATACGGTACTGATAAACGGTGTTGAATATTCTGATGACAAGATCGCTTCTATTGATTTGAACTTTCATAGGATTGACAAAGACGTACAGAGGTGTGATCGGAACTATTACTACTTCACATCCGCCAAACTGTCCATACTCCGACGAATAATGTGCACCTATGTTTGGGAAAACCTTGAGGTTGGTTACCGGCAGGGAATGTGCGACATCCTGGCTCCCCTCTTAGTTATTCTAGACGACGAGACTCTTGCTTACTCCTGCTTCAAGAAACTCATGGTCCGAATGAACATGAACTTTTTACACAGCACGCTGATGGACGACCACTTTGCGAACATGAGGTCACTAATCCAGATACTGGACAGTGAACTGTTCGAGCACATGCAGTCCAACAGCGACTACTCCCACTTCTACTTCTCCTACAGGTGGTTCTTGCTGGACTTCAAGCGAGAGTTGGAGTATGATGATGTATTTAGGGTCTGGGAAGGAATCTGGTCAGCATACCACTGTACTTCCAATCACTTCACTCACTTTATAGCGCTAGCACTGGTCGAACACTACAGGGACATCATACTTGACAACAATATGGACTTTACTGATATTATCAAGTTTTTCAACGAAATGGCTGAAAAACATGATGGCAGAAAGATTTTGAATAGTGCGAGGCAGCTTGTACATCGGCTTCAGATTCTTATCGATAGTTAAAGCTTTGTTCGCCAGTTCTTGATTAAAATCGATGAGAAAAGTGTATTTTGTTCAAACTTTGTTTATATGTGAACAATTAACACCCTCATTAGTCAGTAGGTTGAACGAATAAAACCCATATTTAATATTGTGCTATTTGGCGATGATTTCTGTAAATATTGCCTCCGCCAAATTGAAGACTATACCACTTCTTTGTAATTCTAAAACCATTGTAGACTTAGACTTAGATCCATTATTTTTTCCAAAAAGGAACGACACAAAAATGACTGTTTTCCATGGCTCATATTACAACGCAATGATAACTGATTTTGAAGAGACAAGAGAGTTGCCGTTCCTTTTCGGACTATCATAGGCATTTAAATGAGACTTAAAGTTAAATAACCGGAAGATTAAAACTTTATCAAGCCTGAGTATTTCATAGGTATTAAACAGTATTTTGATTTTTAAAAGCTATGGATTACAGCCCTCGAAAAAGGTATTTTCAGGCGGATTGGTTGCTTTTTGCTGTACATAGATTTCTAATGAAAGCGTGCAACCAGTATAGTATTTACACACTTGCAAATATTATTATTATTAGTAAGCAATAAATTAGATGATGTCATTATGAAAATTATTGGCTTTATTATTATTATCAACTTAATAATATGAGTCTGAGAGCAGTCAGTGTTCAAATGAAATTTAACTTAATGCCTGGCAAGTCTGTGGATGTAGCGATATTATATTTTCAGATAAAATTAGACAGTTCTATGCAATGGTTATTTTCCCGTTTAAATATTCTAGCAAGCTAGAGTTTTAATAACTATAAAAGTGGAAATAATATCTACATCCATAGCTTGAAGTTCAGTTAATTTATTTTAACGAAATAACATATTTGATAATAAATACACCTCTATTACAAACAGAATGAAGTTGGAAATTTGTATTCCTATTAGTGCTAGATTGAGAGGTGTATGACAGTGAAAAGATAAACTTGGACATTTAAATTATTTATGAGTCGTTTCAACTGTTTAATGGGGAACTGTGTTGCAGTTCGGTTTAGAAATTACCCGATTGTTCTCACGCTGGACGTGAAGTTGCTGGTCGTTTGTGTCGAGACACTTGAGTTGTGATCGTGAGATGCTGATTTGTCCAGATTAATTGGCACTTAGCCAGTAGTAATCACGTGTCACAACACAGCTTCTTGACCACATTTTTCAGTATGACTATTAAAATTGCCATCTTTGTTTGAGTATATATATATTAATATATATGTATATGTTAAAAATTAGTGCGCTGGCCGTGTATTTTGTGTCTTTTTTTATTTGTTTATTCTTCAAGTGTAAAATTTTCATTTCTGCTTTAATTCTTGACTTTAATCGATACCGGATCCGCGGATTTCAATACGATTAGATTTGGATTTTGGATGTTGATTGTATGGATTTGATATTATTGAAAATTAATTGCAAATTGATCTAATTTTAATTCCCATTTATTGTAATGTAAAATTGATGGCATAGTGTCATTCGAAGTTAATGAATTTTATGAGAGTATAATTTTGTTAATCATCATCATTTACAATTTAGGTATGTAATGCATAATGTGTCTACCAAAATAGAATACCACATATGTGTGCAAATCGATCGAAATGCTCGCCCTATCATATTCCTATTGCTTGTTAAAGTTATACATATTGAAAAAATACGGTATCTTTCTATCATCCTTCCGACCAACGGCCGTTTAATCTACCGATTTCTTTGGATCATGTCAGTGTGGACAGTGGAGCTACTTTGATATTAAGGTTACAACCTAGCTTGCTAGTCTTTTGTCCGCTTCTCTTCCTGAGGAAGTTAAGCTTGGAAAGAGTGCCGCGCACAGTACAGGGATTGGTGAACCAGGCACCACGAGCAGCCCAAAGGTAAATATTAATTATATTAAAGACAAAAGAATAACTTGGTGCTTGACCATTGTTAATGGTCTGACCCGGCGCGCGCTACTTCGTAGCACTTGCCATCGGGCCATTTCGAGAAGAAAGCGGCGCGCGCTACTTCGAAGAAATTTAGACGAGTAACATCCGTCAACTTGGTGCTTGGATAATGGATACTTACCTCACGTACTGTTTTGTGTCATGTTTAACTCGTTAAAGATAACGGACGAGACTTTTCCCCTTACCACTTACCAATAGACTCTTGCTAGTCTATTGACGGATGTTACTTGTTACTCGTCTAAATTTCTTCAAAGTATCAAGTAGGGCGCGCCGCTGAGGCAAGTGCTGTACGCGCGCCGGGCTAATGATAAAATGTTGGTTGACGATGTCAACCCATCGAGATCGTTGCTCTGCGAATAGGAGCAGAGCAACGATCGACGATGCAAAGCAAGAATGCTAGTTCGCGTCGAAGCGGCGAAGTCCTCCGAGATAAAATGTAAAAGGCTCTTTTCCTTACAATTTTGTTCAGGAAGGTGACAAGGGAAAATACTTCAATTTGAATAAACCGTTAAGAATTGTAATTACAATATCTCAGTGTTCCTCAATATACTATGTCAATAATTCCAATATCCTAGTTCTTTAACTGTAAACTTTAACCGCAACTTCAGTTGTACTCAAACCAAAAAGGGTAACCTCCCTTCGATAGCTCCACCCTAATTATACCAGAAAGTATAAACAATCTCCCATTCTTCCGAGCAATCTATAAACAATTTCCTAAATTATGCTTCTAGTAATCAAAACAGAGGTGTTAAATTGAACTCTCTGATAACCAAAACAGAGATGTCAAAATAAACTTTTTGCTCCTCCAAAACTCTCTGTGCTAAATAATTCCTAAACTATCCTCCCATAGCCAAAACAGAGGTGTTAAACTGAACTCTCTGTTTCCCCAAAGCTCTCTGCTCTTAACAATATCTTTAATTATCCTCCTTGTAACTAAAACAGAGGTGTTAAACTAAACTCTCTGCACCACCCTGCTGTACTTGTCATACGTTGTATGACCCGCGCACGAAGTGCGCGGCTCCCCCTGTATCGTCGAAGACAGTGAAGCGACAGTGGGGGTCACCACGTGATACAATGCTGTACCAAATGTCGTACATTAATATAGGCCCTAAAATACTGAACTAATAGTAATACTGACATGCATATAAACTTAAGATATAAAACCCAACGTCAATCAATATTAGAATCTAAACCGTCTATCGAATTCATTGCAATTAGGGCTCCTCTTCTTGACCATTGTTAATGATCTGGCCCGGCGCGCGCTACTTCGTAGCACTTGCCATCGGGCCATTTCGAGAAGAAAGCGGCGCGCGCTACTTCGAAGAAATTTAGACGAGTAACATCCGTCAACTCCTCTTCTCGCGATCTCCTCTGTGTTGCTCTAACCAGAGCCCTCTCGCTTGCAGTAGCGCGCGACCGCCGTAGGCGGCAAAAGATCTACTTGTGAAACAAGCGCGTCACGCAGTACGCGTAGACACATGGCTATGTGAATCCTCTGTGCATTTGACCATTGTTAATGATCTGGCCCAGCGCGCGCTACTTCGTAGCACTTGCCATCGGGCCATTTCGAGAAGAAAGCGGCGCGCGCTACTTCGAAGAAATTTAGACGAGTAACATCCGTCAACCAAAATAGTTGACATACGTTGCATGCCACTTTTCGCGCGCGAAGCGCGCGCCGCCGAAACATGTATCAACAAAATAGTTATTTTGGCAGATGCCAAAATGACCCTACAACACTAATCCATTAACAATGGACAAGCTAGTCTATTACTCGCTCCTCTCATGAAGAAGCTTGAAAAGAGCATCGCGCACAGGGATTGGCAAACCAGGTATTGTCTTGTATCACGTTGCGACCCCCACGGTTGTTTCACTATATATCGTCCTGACGATACAGGGGGAGCCGCGCACTTCGTGCGCGGCGGGTCATACAACGTATGACAAGTATTGTTCATTGTTAATGGACTAACTCAGCGCGTTCACATAGCCATGTGTATACGCGTACTGCCTTCGGCGGTCGCGCTACTGCAAGTGAGAGGGCTCTGGTTAGAGCAACTCAGCGCGCACTACTTGATCGAAGAAATTTAGACGAGTAACATCCGTCAACCTAGGCAAGAACTTAGGGAAACGACCGTGACCCCCACGGTCGTTTCACTAAGTTCTTACGATATACAGGAGGAGCCGCGCACTCGACGCGGTGGGTCATTTGTAGGTTTTTAATACTACCAGGACACAAATATTTTACGAGTATCACCCGTTATATTATATTAACAGTTAATGGGTCATACAACGTACGACAAAAAACTGGAGCCTGACAAACCATTTTAGGGCTTACGAAATTGAAATTATGTCCACCCGCGGTATTTTGTCGAGCTTTTACTTGCTTCATGCTTGACGCGGACGGATGTTACTCGCCTAAATTTCTTCGCTAAACCAGTTAACGTGTGATATAGCTCTTAAAATATGTATTATTGGCGCGCGTTTTGGTAGCATAAATGTGCCCCTAGAGGTTACTAGCTCTCCGAAAGTAAAAGGGATAGAGAAGCTAATTTCGTTCCGCTTTTTGTCAAAATGTTCATGTTCATTTCGTAAATTTAAATTTAGCTCTCCAGTTGGAGGACTTCACCGCTTCGACGTGTCGCGCAAACTATTATTTTTAAGCTTCGCATTAAAGTACTGACAAGATCGTTGTTCGATTCTGTTAATTCGCAGAGCAACGATCTGGAAGTTCACATAGCCATGTGTATACGCGTACTGCGTGACGCGCTTGTTTCGGCGGTCGCGCGCTACTGCAAGCGAGAGGGCTCTGGTTAGAGAAAAGGGTTAACATCGTCAATCAACTCTCCAGGATCGAGCACAATTTGGGAAAACGTAGATTTTGAGTCATCCAGACAAGTTTTATTATTTGGGCCGAATATTTAAAGTTTGCAACTTTAACTTTGCGGATTCCTGTTCATTACAGTTTATAAATATAACAGCCTGGGGTCCCCAAGTGACAATTTTCAAAATGTATGTACAAAATTGGGATTGGCGTGCCAGGTAATATTTTTCGACGCTTCAGTTAAATTTTTCAAAATTGTCCTACGTTCAAATGGTCATTGTTAAATCACCGGTTAGGTTAACCAAATTAATTGTTATATATATAAGATTTTTTTAAGTAAAACACAAATTCTTTTTACACACAATCAATACATGTTTAGTTCAAATATCCATATTACCATTTCAAAGATCTGTTTTCATAAGTTACGAAATACCAGACCAGTGAAATTGTATATTGCAAGTTTTTTACTGAAAACTTTCAAATCAATCAATAAATGAAAGGTCATTCAAACAATATTATATACAAATTCAATTAAATCAAGTAATACAATTGGCAGAGCACAATACACTGGTATCGGAAATTTTCCACTGCTACTAATATTAATAATAATAATAATAAATTAATGTTATTTTTATACAGCACCAAAAGGTTAAATAATTTAAATTTAACCCTTATGCTCAGCTGTAAATGATACTTAAGTTAACGAGAGTGTGCATCTTTGCCTTAGGTGAAACAAGAAACTGTTCAGAAAACAGACGTTAAAAACTGTTAATAAAATCGTGACTAAATAAGGCAGATGCACCTAACAAGCAGGCTTAGCAGGTTTTCTAACAGAGGACTTGAGGAAAGGATGATGACTGCAAGAAATCACATTATGAAACTCATCAGCCTATCAAATGTAAAAATCAGGATAATAAAAATGAAATTCCCTAAAATATTAAAAATTCTATAAAAATTCTATAGAAATTCTATAGACTCCAAATATACAAACAATCTGAATACTCCAATATACAATAAAAATTGATTGAAAGAGATTACTGCAGAACAGTAACTGACGATAAAAATTATATCTGAAGATCCAATACAGTCATACCAAACAATCTGGGCAACATAAAAGTAGAGACGGTGAAATAAAGAGAGGAAAAAAATGCTCTAGTACTTGAGACAAAATACAAAGAATAAGGTAGCTTTCTCCCGGGTGCCAACCCAAAAAATGTTGGTGTCCCAGGATAGAGCCTCCTCTTCTGACCTACAATACAATTTTGTTGGCAGACACAATGAAACGCAAAAAAGATTATTATCTTAAATGTTGCCCAAAAATCCTTGAAAATTAAAAGCCTAAAATAATTTAATTTAAAGCGTAAAAATGACCTGCTATAGATGTAAATTGTTTTTTAAAACCTTCTATAATGGATAAGTTACTCAGTACAAATCAAAGGACTTTCTAAACAGGTGAGCTTTAAGTTTTCCCTTAAAGTCCTTGATGTTTACACATTTCCTGATTTCTTGAGGAAGATTGTTCCATAATCTTGGAGCAGATGAAGAGAAGGCTCTGGGTGGACTGTTTATGGGGCAATGAAGAGACACATCTCTGCCACCACTGGAATTGTACTTGACAAGGTTTGACAGGTATGAAGGTGCTAGCCCATGGAGCAGTTTGAAAGTTAGCAGGAGTATTTTAAATTCAATACGTTCTTGTACCTTGAGCCAATGAAGTTCTTTTAAGTAGGACTCAACT